AGTACTACAACAGATGCATGCCCAACGAAAAGATAGTCACTTTCACCTACATGCGCGAGCTCTATGCTTTGCGTACGGCTTTGAATCATCGGAGGCACTATCTTTTGGGATGTCACTTCAAAATGTTCTCAGATCATGAGACTTTGAAGTGGATCAAAGAACAAATCACCCTGTCCCCGACACTACTTAGCTGGTTCCATGAGATCGACATTTTTTACTTTGAGCTAAGACATAAAAAGGGTTGTTATAATCGAGTTGCTGATGTGTTGTCTCGCCATCCCGAGTACATGACTTGCCTTGTGAATTTCTATGACCTCCAGAAGAAACTGAAGGAGAAAATCGTAGAACACACTGTCAAGAACCTGGACCTTAGTCCCATCCTTGAGCAGTTGCGGGCTGACCCCAGCAGTCAGCCTGATTTTTACGATTATGGACTGGTTTTCTGACGCTATGTGAATAACGACCATTTGTGTGTGCCCAACCATGAGCCTCTCCGCACAGACTTCTTGGATTTGGCTCATGGCCGGAGTGGACACTTCGACGTGGAAAAAACATACGAAAACCTATTAAGACAATTTGATTGACTTGGTATGAAGGGATCTGCAGAAAAGATTGTGGTTGAGTGTCAAGTCTATCAACGAATCAAACCATGTAGACAAGAGCCCATGGGGCTACTTGCACCCCTTCCCATTCCCGATGGACCCGAGGAGTCAATCTCTATCGACTTCACCGGCATGGAAAAGGTAAGTAAGAACGGCTATTTGCAAGTAATGGTGATTGTTGACCGCTTCTCTAAATTCCTCAATCTGACTCCTTTACCATCTCATGCCCCAACTGCATTGGTGATCCGTGAGTTCAAACAATAGTATATTCTGCAATTCAAAATCCCGAAAACTTTTGTGAGCAATCGGGACCTGCGCTTCATAAGTACCGAATGGAAGGACTTTACGTCCGAACTCCCTGGCCTCAAACTATGCATGACATCTGACCTACATCTCGAAGCCAATGGTTTGGCTGAGGAAATCAACCAGACTGTTTCAATTTCTACGCGCTTTAATCATTCCGGATCAAGAGACGTGGGATGAAGAGTTGTATTCCGTCAAGAGGTTGTACAACAACTTGAACTTCATTCATTCTTCAAACAGACCGCATTACGGTTGGCAAATTCGCAATTCGCTCTCCTCCCTATTCCCTGAACAGCAAGCTGGTTTAATACCCGATAGGCCTAAGCGTCGACCTTCGGATATCGAAGTAGAAAGTTATATCTGGGTCAAGATGTTTGAATTCTTAGAAAAAGCGGGAGTCTCACGCAAACTTCTTCCGCTCTATTATGGTCCGTGGGAAGTTCTAGAAGTGATTGGCAAGGATGGGTTGGCCCCTCATACACAATTGTTGAGGCACCTCATCTGCGCACATACCCCCTTTTTCATGCATCAAAACTGTATATTCACCATGACGCTAAGTCCTTCGATTACCGTGAAAACATGATTCCAGGTGCAACCGATGGTGCTGATGAGATCGATAGAATCAAACAGAACATAGGAAAGGGATGTAACAGACAGTACCAAGTTCACTTTATGTATCACCCATTGGACGATCTCTACTGGATCTCCACAAAGGAACTGCTGCGCAGCACACCTCGCGTTGTTAAAGCCTACGAACGTCAAATCGTCTCTAACGCTGTATCCAAAATCTCTGCAAAGCTCACTGCAACAGAGTACTCTCGAAATCTCTTTGCTTTGTTTGCTTACGATGCGTTTGCCGGGAACTCAAAATGAGTTACTCGCTCGAAGGAACCTCGCTCTTAAGGTGGGGGTAGTGTGATGACCCAGCCAAACACGGACCGAACCACACAGCTGATTTACGAGTTTTGCTCATAGACTGAATGCGTTGCTGAGTTTCCCGTTTGCTACTAAGTTCTCTAAGTCTGTGTGTGTGCACGCTTGCTGGTCTGCATGTCTGTCTGAGTGCTTTATGGCTTGAGTGTGTGTGTGACCCGCAAGGGCACTTGTTTGTTCGTTGGGCCCTCAGGGCCGGTACTTACCTGTGGCCGTGACATTGAGGATTGCAGCGGGGAAAACACTCAAGTAGCAGGTAGGCCCGTACCACACCCTGAAGTGGCTGGTACCACACCCTCAGGGACGGTAGTTACCTGTGGCCGTGACATTGAGATTGCAGAGGGGAAAACACTCAAGTGGCATGGGAAGAGGCCCGCAACACTTGAAGCAGCGGGGAAACACTCAAGTAGCAGGTAGGCCGGTACCACACCCTGAAGAGGTAGATGTGCCGGGTACTTGAGGCCAAGTAGAAAAAGACAAAAGTGGCATTTTTAGAGAACCAGTAGTTGTAGGCTAAGTCTAGGCGGGTACCAGTCCAACCAGTCTAGGGCCTGTATGGGCAATATCAGAGTCTGCAATGATGTTTCCCTCTGAAAGGGAGGAGTTATCGGTTGCTTGGAAGGCCGAGCGGCCTGGAAATCACCGCCCAAGAGGCAAGCAGGCTGCTATACCTCCCGGCCGGGCGAAGAGCCCAGCCTCGTTGTCGATGTGCAAGTTTGGCGACACACTGGTTGGAGCGCTGGCTGGAGCAGCGCTAGCAAGAGCAGCGCTGCTGCGGAAGGAGCAAGGACACGGAGGAGGGAGAAGACCAGGAGGAAGGGGGAGCTCCAGAGGTACTTACCTGGCTATGGTGGCAGCCATCTTCATCACCTTGGTGGGCGCTGCAGCAGGAAGGTCCCCGTGGGGGCAAGGCTAGACCAAGAAACCTCGAGGCAGAGTCAGGCATGGCGGCCTGAGCTAGAGCAGCCATAGCTGCTTTGTGCTGTCCTTCAGACATCAGGGCAAGGCGCGAGTAGTCCGCCATAGCCTCGGCCTCTGAGAGTGAAGAGTGAGGGAGGCGGCCATGGCTATGGTGGACCTCAAGTGATACCTGCAGTGGAAGAGGGATTCGGACATTGATTGTGGTCCAGCCATTCAACATTGTACTACTATTTCTTGTGTGAATAAGAGAGGAGGAGAATGTTTGGCGAAGAAAAGCATTATCATTTGTCTATGATGGTGTACATCATCTTCTTTTTCTTTCTGTCTTCTTCTTCTTCTTCTTCTTCTTACCCTCTCTCTCCTCTCAAGTTCCTTCATTTCTTTCTGCAACTGGATGGCATTGTATTATCTGATGAATGTGTACTTCAAAATTGGGCAGGATCATAACATCCTTGACAACGTCTACATCCATCAGCTCTGATTGTTCATCATACCCATCCTGTCCCTGATCTCTGTCTACCCCCACAGTCCCGTCTACAGTTGGCTCATTTGTACCTATCGCCGCATTTCTCAATTCCTCCTGCCGTTGCTGTTCAGACTGTGTTGAGGATGCTGGATACTGTGTTGACTGCTGGGGGGCTTTTTTTTTTTTCTTTTTTTCTTTTTTTTTTTTTGTGGGGGGGGGTCATTTTTCTTCCTCTCAGCATTTTTATTTTTTGCCTCCCTCCATCCTGCAGCAGTCGGCTGACAATTCTTCGGCAAATAGGAGGATGGATCCGGACCAGGTACTTTGTCTTTTACAGCTTGCCTCTCCATTTTCTTATTCAGGGGATCCTGGAGGGAAATTCTCTGTGAGTTGCCCAGTAAGCCGTAGGCAGAGAGGGAGAAGAGGACAACAAACGATGGGCTGTGACAAACTGTCTCGTCGGAGTTTCACCGCCTCAACAGGAGGATGACCCCTCTACAGTCTGCAGAGTCCTCTAACTGATTACACTGTAAGTGATAATCCACCTTAACCCCGGTTGTGCTTAAGCATCAACGACTGCCCGACAACTGATACCCTGAGGTGGTGGGGACCACCAACCACTGCCCTCAAGGTACCTGTGACGAAAATCAAAGCAGGGGACAGGGCCCGAACGCCTGCCCGAACGCCCGAACATTCGGAGGTTGGCCTGGGGGCCTCCGAACGTTCGTCCTGGTAACCCTGTATATATATATATATATCGTCACAAACAGAATATATATATATATATCGTCACAAACAGAACTGCCCGATAAAACCGTAGGCAGAGAGAGAGAAGAGGACAACAAACGAGGGGCTGTGACAAACTGTTTCGTCGGAGTTTCACCGACTCATCAGGAGGCTGTATATATATATATATATATATATATTGTGTTCGGGCAAGTGGTCCCGGGCCACTGTGGCAGCGTTGAAAATAGCACTTTGTGTCCCCCCCCCCCCCCCCCCCCCCCCCCCCCCCCCCCCCCCCCCCCCCCCCCCCCCCTCTCTCTCTCTCTCTCTCCTCCTGACGAGTCCAATATGTATATATTGTAAAACGGTAAAACAGAGTATACGATTTTCATTTCTATTTTAAATTTGCTAAAGAATTTCGAGATGACGCCCAGGCAAAAGTTGCTCAGTTTTTATTATTTGTTATTTTGTTTTTTTTTCATAACATAGTTTTTCTCGGATTTTTTTTATTTTTTATTTTTTTTGCATTCGGGTTCGGCCAAACATGTCTCTAGCGGAGTTGAACGTTCGGCCGTTCGTCCCGTCTTGTTCAGGCCAGGCAGAATGCCGGTAAACCTGTGACAAACTGTTTGGTTGGAGTTTCGCCAACTCATCAGGACGCTGAACATATATGCTCCTCCTGAAGGCTGACATGCAAATATCCTGACCTATTGCCTGCACTATACCCCCTCCTCCTCCACCTCCTCCTCCTCCTCCTGATGTGATGCATTTTTTTTGGTACTTTTTTGTTGTTAACTCCTTCCAATCTAATCCTTTGCACAAACTCTGCACAGAATTTAAGCACAACCTGGAACATGCTAATAGTAACTTGATCACCACACAGTCACCAAAAACAGGAGAGCGGGGCGGGAGCAGAGGACAGGGATGCAATGAACACTCACTGATGCAAAACATCACCACGACTCGTTCGACTCAGTGAATTCACCAACCTGTCTTCCCTACCACTTATAGATGGCAGTCTGTATTATACTTATTGACTTCGTGTTCCTCTTTTTTTTCCTTTTTTGTTTCACTTGGTGCTCCATTCTTGCATCAGTTTGGCACTTTCTTGCTCCTCCTCTTTGCTCTTTCCAACCCCCCCCCCACCCCTTGGACAAACTTTCACTGAAAAGCCACCCTTCCCCGCTCCTCCTCCCTATTACATGACTTTGGACCCTTGCGCCGCAAAGCCACCAAAAAAGGGACAACTCCAATCATATGACATGCCCTACGGTTCTGTACCACGTACTACCAACAGAATAAACAATACACGGTAGACAAAGGCGTCCCCACAGAGAGAGAGAGAGGACCTTATCCACCAAGCACCTTTGTGGAAGTGAGGATCCAAGCTCGAAATCCAAGAGAGAGAGAGAGAGAGAGAGAGGACCTTATCCTTATCCACCGAGCACCTTTGTGGAAGCGAGGATCCAAGCTCCAAGTCCACTCCTACCCAAGCATCCATTCTTGTGTGCAATGCACTCGATCAGGCACAGCCAAACTGGCAAATCGTGGTCACTCCGTTGATACAGCAATAGCGACCAAACTGTGCGAAGATGACGAGAGAGACCTGTATGTGGCTTTTTGCAGCATAGGTTAGAAGAGCCCCATTTGTCATCTCCTTGCATGGCGGCAGAAGACACCCGCAAACGACACATTCCTTCCTTTTGCTTTGCTTGATCAGCGCTCTATATTCCTCACTTCGTTGACCTCAGCCACTGTTGCAACCCCTCTCTCTCTCTCTCTCTCTCTCTCTCTCTCTCTCTCTCTCTCTGTGTGTGCAACTTTCGTACACCCTGCTGGCCTCATCTTTCCCTCCTCGTTTCGTTCCCTATTTCGTCTGATCCATACATGAACAACTTTTTCCTTCCTTTCAACCCTCCGAGCTACTTATGAAAATCCACCTACCCCAAAACTGGACCTGGCTATGACAACACTCCCTACCCAACATCGAGAGCAATGAGACACGCCTCAGAACTCGAACTCGAATATTCGACAGGCCAGCGCAGCACGCACCGATCACACCGCCACACTTTCTGGGGCAGCCCCCTCTCCTCTCAACGATCGCTGGACTAAATTCTTGCCCACACAGCAGGACTCCACTCTGCAACATGAAGAATTGAAAGAAATGACAAGAAGCTTACCCCAAGCATTGATCAGAAAGAATCAAAGTTACAAGCACTTTCTGAGTCGATTGATGTTGAAAGGCAACGCTACATACAACGGGCCCCGTTGGCCACCAGTTTCTGGTGGCACAGTTAAAAGACCACTTGCTGGCGCAGTCGACACATACCACCACTTCCCCTGTCGGACCAGACGACCGACCAACCAATGATCGCCGTAGATCTGGTGCCACCGCAGAATCAGCTGTTTCCACACGTTTCACAGCAGGCACTGACAAAACCGATTCCGTACCCTCGACCCCCATTTTTTGAAGTCCAACCTTGTCTGCCTCCAGACTTTTCACAGCACTGAGACTTATCATTAGATGGCCCTCCGAAGGACCCGAACAAGCTTTTCACAGCACTGAAACTTATGATTAGACGGCCCTCAGGAGGACCCGAACCGGTTTCTTGAAGTCAAACCTTGTCCAGCTCGGGCGGGTTTTTCAGAGAGCACTGAGAAACTTAGAAACGTTGGCGCCACCAGCCATTTAGCTCCGGTAGGCCGTGCCACCGACGTCAAGGCGAGTTAAATGGCCCCATCAGAGAAAAATGGCTGGGAAACATTGCAGGTGGTTTGAAAGAAGTCAGTCTATATATCGTCACAAACAGAACTGCCCGGTAAAAACGTAGGCAGAGAGAGAGAAGAGGACAACAAACGAGGGGCTGTGACAAACTGTTTCGTCGGAGTTTCACCGACTCATCAGGAGGCTGAACCTATATATAAACAGAGCTGCCCGGTATACCGTAGGCAGAGAGGGAGAAGAGGGCAACAAACGAGGGGCTGTGACAAACTCACCCACACCAGGTGGAAAACTCTACAGACTGTCGGTTCACACCCCATCACAAGCAATCAAGACACCCACGAAACAAAGGAAGCATTAGAGGCACAGCATGGCCGCGTAGTGACGGCCCCTATATATATATATATATGAAAAAGAAAGAAAGAAAGACAATCTTTTTGTCCAGCTTGTCCAGCTCCAGGGGCCAAGTCCCACTTGCACCCATTCTTCCTATCTGGCCGTCGATCTTCGTAATCTACAGTTAGAAAAAATTGAGAGAATTCGGGTAAACAGGACTTGGCCCCAGAGTTTTAAAGGCCTGAAACACTTACGCAGCCCACCCGAAGAACCCTGGTTCGAACGCAGGATTCCTTACGTAGAAAATAACAGATCTTGTCCAGACGCAGGCTTTCTTACGCATCTCTAGACTCCAGAGTTTTTCGGAGCAAGCACTGAAAACCTCACGTAACCAACCAGTGGGCCTTAGCTCAGTTGGTATACCCATAACTGTTAAAATGCAGGTGTGAGTTCGAGTCCAGCTGGAACCAGATGGGCGAAATTCCCTGGGTAATTACCTAGGGCCAGTCAGTTTCACACTGATATCTCAAGGCTGTCCACCCTTTAAACCACCAGTACCTTTCCCAGCCATCGGCCGTGGGCCCTGCACACCGAGTTTTGGCGGCGCATCTGGCCGCCGCCAGAGGCCGAGTGCAGCCTCCGTGTTAGTCGCCGCCAGAGGCCGAGTGCGGCCTCCGTGTTAGCCGCCGCGATTCGGCAAAAATGCCTGGGAAAGGTACTGGTGGTTTAAAAAAAAAAAAAAAAAAAAAAAAAAAAAAAAAAAAAACCTCACGTACGTAGCCCAAACCAGTTTTTCAAATATGCCACATCTGTCAACCTCCAGCTTTTTTTGGATCCCTGAGAAACTTCCGCAGGCCGCCAGAACCAGTTTCTTCTTGAAGACGTCGACCCTAAACCAGCTCCAGCGGCTTTATACAGATCTCTGGAAACCTTGCTGGGCAGTCTGTACCGATTTCTTGGAGTCGTCTTCATCCACCTTCACCTCGCCATTGACAAGCTCGTACACATACACTCCTACCCGCCGCCCAAAGCGGTTTCTTGTCGAAGATATCAACCTTGTCCAGCTCCAGTGGCTTTATACAGCGCTCTGAAAAACTTCTTCTGTAGCCTGAACTGCTTTCTTGAAGTCCATTTTCTTCTTGTCCCCCTTCAGCCTCGCCATTGACAAGCTCGTACACATAACCCTGATCTGCTCCCCCCGAACGCCATCGAACTCCATCTCAATACAAAGCTGTGCAGATAACTAATGCAGCCCACCCAAAGCGGTTTCTTGCTGAAAATATGGCCTTGTCCACCTCCGGCAGCTTTATACACAGCTCTGATAAAAAAACTGATTGGGTAGCCTTGTCCGCCTTCTCTTCGCCATTGACAAGCTCGTACACATACACTACTCCACCCTAAGGCGATCTAACTCCATCAACAGAAAGTAAGGTTGCAGCAGAGTTTCTTGTTGAAGATATCAACATCGTCCAGCTCCGGCGGGTTCTTACAGAGCTCTGAGACACTTTTTTTTTTTTTTTTTTTTTTTTTAACCGAACCTTATGGTTCCGGCTCCTTATCCATTCTGGTGAGTGTGTATACATTTTTTGTAATCTTTTCAGACCTGCCGGTGGAATAGGATCTCTGAGACACTTGCTGCGTAGCCTGAACTGATTTCTTGAAGAGTCGATTTTGTCCACCTTCACCCTAAGGCCATTGATTGACAAGCTCGTACACATCATACACTACTCTACGCTAAAGTCACCCATCCCAGGACTATTCCGGCTTAGCGGAGCTTGGCTTCCGAGTTCGCATGGGATTGGGCGCATGAGCCGCCAGAAACTTATTGCTGGGTAGCCTGAACTGATTTCTTGAAGAGTCGATTTTGTCCACCTCTACCCTAATAAGGCCATTGACAAGCTCGTACGCATCATACACTACTCTACCCTCCTAAGGCCATCATCGACCTCCATCAACACAAAAGCTTACAGAGCTCTTAAAAGGTCACCCATCCGAGGACTATTCCCGCTTAGCGGCGCTCGGCTTCCGAGTTCGCATGGCATTGGGCGCATGAGCCACCAGAAACTTATTGCTGGGTAGCCTGAACTGAATTCTTAATAAAGAGTCCATTTTGTCCACCTCTACCCTAATAAGGCCATTGACAAGCTCGTACGCATCATACACTACTCTACCCTCCTAAGGCCATCATCGACCTCCATCAACACAAAAGCTTACAGATCTCTTAAAAGGTCACCCATCCCAGGATTATTCCGGCTTAGTGGCGCTTGGCTTCCGAGTTCGCATGGGATTGGGGGGCCCATTAGCCGTCAGAAACTTTATTGCTGGGTAGCCTGAACGGATTTCTTGAAGTCGATTTTGTCCACCTTCACCTCGCCGTTGACAAGCTCGTACACATAGACTACTACCCGAATGCCATCAATGTCCATCAACACAAAGCTGGGATTCACGTCGTAGGTCATACTGCTATAGGCTCCGGTAGCGGATCCCGGGTTGATGATGAGCCTGCCTTGGTGTTTATAGGCCTTGAACTGATGAGTGTGACCGGTCAATAAGATATCGACATCTAATTGCCGCTGCAGCATAGCCAGAGATTCCACATCGCCCCAGGGGACCACCTGATGGCCATGGCACAAACCGATTCGAAAACCGCCTATATTTAGGAGCTTGGTCTCCGGGAACCGGGGGTCTTCGTCGTACTCGCCCTTCGACACGTGGACATCGTTGCAAAGGCTCTTCAAGTAATCGTAAACCTCCTTGATGCACAAATTGCCTGTGCTCAATATGTGCTGAATCTTCCCCGGAACAAGCATAGCCTTGAACTTTGGCGGTAAATCTGCCGCCCTGTGTGGGATGTGCAAATCACCTAAAGCCAGAACTAGCACCATTTCGCTTCTCTCTCTCTCTCTCTCTCTCTCTCTCTCTCTCTCTCTCTCTCTCTCTCTCTGTGTGTGTGTGTGTGTGTGTGTGTGTGTGCGTCCTTTGAGACACGTGTCAGGCGGTCCTCGATCCCCCAATCACTCAAACAGAATAGATGGAGCAGAGCTGAAGTGGTAGAATCTCTCTCTGTTCTCCTTCTTATTCTCTCTCTCTCTCTCTCTCTCTCTCTCTCTCTCTCTCTCTCTCTCTCGCTCTCTGAAGTGGTAGAATCTCTTTGTTCTCCTTCTTATTCTCTCTCTCTCTCTCTCTCTCTCTCTCTCTCTCTCTCTCTCTCTCTCTCTCTCTCTCTCTCTCTCTTTGTGTGTGTGTGCGTCCTTTGAGACACGTGTCACGCGGTCCTCGATCCCCCAATCACTCAAACAGAATAGATGGAGCAGAGCTGAAGTGGTAGAATCCCGCGGAGCTGTTAAGGACGGTCGTGTTTTACTGGATCTGGATAAGTCGTTCACAGATGGAAAGGATGAATGAAGGCGGGATGGGGTGTCGTGTCCTGAACGTTATCTGCAAAAAAACAAGGACGAGTGTGAAACGGACCAACGGGCCTTGCTCAGCTGGTATACACCCATGAAGTCTTCAAGTTCGAATCCAGTTACAATCAAATGACCAAAGTAAATTCATCCTGAATTACCTGAATTACCTGGGCCCGGTTAGTTCAAAGATGATATCTAAACAAAAAAAAAAAAAAATCTAAAAAAATCTAAAAAAAAATAAAAGATGATATCTCAAGACCGTCACCCTTTTTATTATTCATATAAAACTACAGAAAACAGAACAAAAAAGGAGTGTGCAATATACATAAGAGGATGGATGTAAATTAGTAGTACGAGACGAAGCCTGTAGTACCAGCTTGATCTCTTTTTTTTGTTTTTGCTAGTTATTTTTCCTGAGGATAATAGGATATTGGTCCTCGCTTCACTACTCTCCAAATGTGCAAAATGAGAATGAATCAACCGCTAGAACATGGAAAGATACACCGCCATGATTTTTGTCTTTTGCGATTGTCGAGGGTAGTGGAGCGACGCCCATTGTTTTCCTTTTGTCGATAAAAAAGAGTGTACTGAGGACATAACAGTCACAATGAGACTTTTCAACGATTTACTTAACAGTACGTTCACATGGCGTAATCGACAAAATAGTAATCCATCCGTACTTGCTCCTCCGCCTCCCCCAACAACCCTCTCCCCCCC